ATATATATATAATATAATATATATATTTATGCTTATATAAGTTATTCTTATTCTGAGTATTGAGCTATTAATAATAATTAATAGTAATTAAAAATAGCCAAGTATGTATATGTGCAATCGACGCATATCTTTCCCTTAATAAAACTATTCAATAGCAATTTAATTTCTTGAATTCTACAAAATACCGTAACAATAAAAATGCGTAATAAATATCCGTATTTTACTGGGAATTAATCGATCTATCGTAAATACGATCGCGTGACTAAAAAAAACACGACTCCATAACAAGCAAGATTTAATCTGCTTGATACACGCTGCGTACAATTAGGCTTACTTCCTCCACATATGTAAATCTTCCGTATAAATTCCGAATATTTGCTCTGACGACTCTGGAATCGCAGCTTCCTATCGTAGAATTACTTCTCGCACACCGGTAACGCTACGAATCCTAATGCACTATTTATTGAGCACTTCAGATGATAAATATTGTAATGGGTTTATTTAACGTCGTTTCTTGACATACACGTGCGCACGAATGTGTTATTTCTCTCGAAGTGAATTTTACGTTCTGTAGTACGGTCTGTAGGTCGACAGCGGAATATTGTTCTTCGACAGATGATGAACGTCACCCTGATCGTACTCCACGTCGTTGTAAATTCCGCTTTGATTCTGAAATATAAATTAACTCATTGATATATGTAATTATCTAATAGTTAATTAACTTCTATACTTATAGTAATAAAAAACGGATTGAATTAATATCGAGATTAAATTGTTCAGATTATATTGGAAGCAAAAGATCGAAAAAAAGATAAGAATAAAACGTTCTTGCGCAAAAAGAACGATTTAAAAGGAATGGAGGAAAGTTCGTTTTGCGAAGTTCCTAATCTTGGAATTCGAAGATTGGTTTTATAATTATTGAATTTCTTTCCCTCAATTTTTCTCTCTTTACTCCTGTCTTATTAGATTCTACTTAATATAAGCGGATCAAAAATAAATTTTTCACTCGACATTTATATATATATTTCTTTTTTCTATTCTATTTGGTTACACATGTAGGTACCGTTCGAAAAGCAATATTAAATTTTACAGAGAAATAATTTTTTTTTAAATCCCTGCTTTCCCCAAGAACAAATACTTAATTTTACAGAGATAAATTCTCTCTTTTCAATCCATTTTAATTCGTTTATTTTCTATCGTGAGATACATAATATATGACGATTTAATGAATACTTACCGCTAATGAGGACCTCGACTTCGGCCTCGGCACGTGAAAACCACTGCTCTGAGGAATTAGGTCGGCTCTGTCCTTATCCTGTGGCTCGGAATCCGAGCTATCTGGATCTGGTTGGGGTCTCAGTCTTTGCCGCGGTGGAGCTTGAAGTCGCGGTAATGGAACCGGTGGCAATGTTCCGTGAATGTTCATAGGTGGATAACCGAACATTGCCGAACTCGGTCGCGTAGGGCCCATGGGTTCGGTCTTTTAACAATAAGATTTTTTATGACATTATATTTTCGATCAAAACTAAGGCAATTTAATGACAAAAAATTTTATTACGTTTCAAAATTATAAGAAAGTTTAAAAAACTGCAAAAATTAATCATAATGAACATATAAATCTTTTACGCGAAAAAATGTGTTGTCTGTTATCGATTTGTGTTTAAAAGTACATTGAAATTGATTTCTATCTGTATGAGCTCCTTTTTCTTTTTAATTTCTATGTTTTATATGTAATAGAAATAACGCGACTTTTTCTTTAACGATAAAATATTCTTAATACATTTTAGTACCAATTATTGAATGTCATTTATCGATACATACCGCATAGACATTCGCTGTTGCCATGTGATCCCCAAAATGAGCCCACATGTAAGGCGGTAAATTCGTCGGCGGACCTTGTTTTATGGATGCTAGAGTGCCTACAGAACCGACCCTCGCTAAAGTTCCTGTAAATTATTTGTGACTTTAGATCTATGCTACTAGCAAAAAAAAGAGATCAAGATTTATATTTAATTATTAATTGCTTTTACCGGGAAGAGTACCGGGAATTCCGCCTTGAATATAACCGTACACCGGGGAACCTGCAGACTTTTGTTCGCGAGACCATTTTCGACTGTAAAATATTCGCATAGTTTTATATATTAATATAGATATATGTATATATGTGTGTATATATAATATTATAAAATATTATTTTTCTTAATCGAGAAAAGTTACCTCCACATAACAAGACAGACTAGCGTTAGCACGATTATTATTAATGCAGCCACAGATGCGCCTATAGCAACACCCAAGACTTCACCATCAACCTCGCATTGCGCGCCATAGTAATTGCCGGTGCACCTAGAAATTGCAAAAATTTTCAATGCAAAAATTAACGAGCAAAAATTTACGCTATCTTATATTTACTTACGCGCATTGCATTTGATCTCCTTGATAAGAGCAAGTGCCACGATTGTTGCAGTAGGTCGAAGGGCACGTCAGACATATTCTACCGGATTTTTCGAGATCGTCTTTGTGAGGATCTTTTAATCCCTGATTACAGGAGCACGTGAAACCGCCGAATGTATTGGCACAACTGGCGGAGGAATGACAATCGTTCAATTCCGACGAAGCGCACTCGTCCAAATCTATAAATTCGGAAACATGCTTTATGTTACTTAATATACATTTATATTATTTTTAATATAATTAATATATTTAATA